TGTTGCATATGGATTTCCAGTTATCCCAGCACCATTTGTTGAAGATGCTATCCTTCCTCCATTGCATGCTTTTAGCCCCTTTATCAAATATAAGGTAGTTGTAGTTTTGTGGATTGGTTTCTGTGTCCTCTATTCTGTACCATTGGTCCACCCGCCTGTTTTGGTACCAGTACCATGCTGTTTTTGTTACTATTGCTCTGTAGTATAGTTTGAAGTCTGGTATCGCTATACCGCCTGATTCACACTTCCTGCTTAGCATTGTTTTTGCTATTCTGGGTCTTTTATTTTTCCATATGAATTTCATGATTGCTTTCTCTATTTCTACAAGAAATGCCGTTGGGATTTTGATTGGCATTGCATTAAACCTATACAGAACTTTTGGTAATATCGCCATTTTGATGATGTTAGTTCTGCCTATCCATGAACAGGGTATATTTTTCCATCTTCTAAGATCTTCTTCTATTTCTCTCTTTAGGGTTCTGTAGTTTTCATTGTATAAGTCTTTCACCTCTTTTGTTAGGTTGATTCCCAAGTATTTTATTTTTTTTGAAGATATTGTGAATGGAGTGGTTGTCCTCATTTCCATTTCAGAGGATTTGTCGCTGATATACAGGAATGCCTTTGATTTATGCGTGTTGATTTTATATCCTGCCACTTTGCTGAATTCATTTATTAGCTCTAATAGTTTCTTTGTAGACCCTTTTGGGTCTGCTAGGTATAGAATCATGTCATCTGCAAATAGTGATAATTTAAGTTCTTCTTTTCCTATTTTGATGCCTTTAATTTCTTTCGTCTGTCTAATTGCTCTGGCCAGTGTTTCGAGAACTATGTTGAAGAGAAGTGGAGAGAGAGGGCATCCCTGTCTTGTTCCAGATTTTAGAGGGAATGCCTTCAGTTTTTCTCCATTCAGAATGATGCTAGCCTGAGGCTTGGCATAGATTGCTTTTACAATATTGAGGTATGTTCCTGTTATCCCTAGTTTTTCTAGAGTTTTGAACATAAAGGGATGCTGTACTTTGTCGAATGCTTTTTCCGCATCTATCGAGATGATCATATGGTTCTTATTTTTAAGTCTATTCATGTGGTGAATAACATTTATTGATTTCCGTATATTTAACCAGCCTTGCATCCCAGGGATGAATCCTACTTGATCATGGTGTACAATTTTTTTGATATGTTTTTGTATCCGATTCGCCAGAATTTTATTGAGGATTTTTGCATCTAGGTTCATTAGAGATATTGGTCTGTAGTTTTCTTTCTTTGAAGTGTCTTTGTCTGCTTTAGGTATCAGGGTGATGTTGGCCTCATAGAATGAATTTGGAAGTTCTCCCTCCTTTTCTATTTCGTGAAGTAGCTTGAAAAGTATTGGTATTAGTTCTTCTTTAAAGGTTTTGTAAAATTCTGCTGTATACCCATCCGGTCCTGGGCTTTTCTTAGTTGGTAGTCTTTTGATGGTTTCTTCTATTTCCTCAATTGATATTGGTCTGTTTAGGTTTTCTATATCCTCCTGACTCAATCTGGGCAGATCATATGATTTAAGAAATTTATCTATGCCTTCATTATCTTCTAATTTATTGGAGTATAAGGATTCAAAATAGTTTTTGATTATCTTCTGTATTTCTGAATTGTCTGTTGTGATATTGCCTTTTTCATCCCATATGCTAGTAATTTGAGTTCTCTCTCTTCTTCTCTTCGCTAGCATCGCTAAGGGTCTGTCGATTTTGTTTATTTTTTCAAAGAACCAACTTTTAGTTTTGTCAATTTTGTCAATTGTTTCTTTTGTTTCGATTTCATTAATTTCAGCTCTGATTTTAATTATTTCTTGCCTTCTACTTCTTTTGCTGTTGTTTTGCTCTTCTTTTTCTAGGATTTTGAGATGAAGTATGAGATCATTTATTTGTTGGTTTTTCTTTTTTTAAGGAATGAACTCCAAGCAATGAATTTTCCTCTTAGAACTGCTTTCAATGTGTCCCATAGATTCCGATATGTTGTGTCAGTGTTTTCATTAATCTCTAAGAATTTTTTAATTTCCTCCTTGATGTCTTCTATAACCCATTGATCATTCAGTAACCTATTGTTCATTCTCCAAGTTATGTATTCTTTTTCCTTCCTTCTTTTATCGTTGATTTTCAGTTCCATTCCATTATGATCAGATAGGATGCATGGTATTATCTCTACTCCTTTGTATTGTCTAAGAGTTTCCCTGTGACATAATATATGATCTATTTTTGAGAAGGATCCATGTGCTGCTGAGAAAAAAGTGTAACTGCTTGATGTTGGGTGGTATATTCTATATATGTCAATTAAGTCTAGGTTATTAATTGTGTTATTGAGTTCTATAGTTTCCGTATTCAACTTTTGTTTGGAAGATCTGTCCAGTGGCGAGAAAGGTGTGTTGAAGTCTCCCATGATTATGGTATGGTGGTCTATTAGACTCTTGAACTTGAGAAGAGTTAGTTTGACGAACATAGCTGCACCATTGTTTGGGGCATATATATTTATGATTGTTATGTCTTGTTGGTGTATGGTTCCCTTAAGCAGTATGTAGTGTCCCTCTTTATCCCTTTTGATTAACTTTGGCTTGAAATCTATTTTATTTGATATGAGTATGGACACTCCTGCTTGTTTCCGAAGTCCATATGAGTGATATGATTTTTCCCAACCTTTCACCTTCAGCCTATGTATGTCTTTTCCTATCAAATGCGTCTCCTGTAGGCAGCATATTGTTGGGTCTTGTTTTGTGATCCATTCTACTAGCCTGTGTCTCTTGATTGGTGAGTTTAAGCCATTAACATTTAGGGTTATTATTGAGATATGGGTTGTTCTTCCAGCCATATTTGTTTATTTATGTTACTAAACATGGTTTGTTTTCCTCTTTGATTATTTTCCCCCCTTTACTGTCCTACCTCCCACTGTTGGTTTTCATTGTTATTTTCCATTTCCTCTTCCTGTAATGTTTTGCCAAGGATGTTTAGAAGAAATGGTTTTCTAGCTGCAAATTCTTTTAACTTTTGTTTATCGTGGAAGGTTTTAATTTCATCTTCCATCCTGAAGCTTAATTTCGCTGGAAACACAATTCTTGGTTGGAACCCATTTTCTTTCAGTGTTTGAAATATGTTATTCCAGGATCTTCTAGCTTTCAGAGTCTGTGTTGAAAGATCAGCTGTTATCCTGACTGGCTTACCCCTAAATGTGATCTGCTTCCTTTCTCTTGTAGCTTTTAAAATTCTCTCCTTATTCTGTATGTTGGGCATCTTCATTATAATGTGTCTAGGTGTGGGTCTCTTATGATTTTGCACATTCGGCGTCCTGTAGGCTTCTAGGATTTGGGATTCTGTCTCATTCTTCAAGTCTGGGAAGTTTTCTTGTATTATTTCATTGAATATATTGCTCATTCCTTTGGTTTGAAACTCTGTCCCTTCCTGTATCCCAATGACTCTTAAATTTGGTCTCTTGATGTTATCCCATATTTCTTGGATGTTCTGCTCATGGTTTCTTAACAGTCTTGCTGAGCTGTCTATGTTCTTTTCAAGTTGAAATACTTTATCTTCATTGTCAAAAATATGGAACGCTTCACGAATTTGCATGTCATCCTTGCGCAGGGGCCATGCTAATCTTCTCTGTATCGTTCCAATTTTAGTATATGTGCTGCCGAAGCGAGCACCTGCCTTGCCTTGACATTTTGCAACCTCCCAAGTTTACAGCTTCTACTTTAAGGGTTGAATATCCCTTCTTTTCAGACCAATTCGGCAATGTATTTCTAAAGCTTTTTTCTATTTACCTAGTATTTTAGTTGTTTCTAGCTAGAATCAAATCTTTTTAAATTATTTATTTATTCTAATTTGTTATGCATGATTAGAATAAAATCTTTATAAGTACATGAAGACCTAAATGAACCTGTTTTTGTTAATGTTTATTTACATATGTATTTAAAGCATTTTCTTTTTACATCTCATAATTTTATTTCTAATTGCATCTGGTAAAACCTTGATATCTGCTATAAAACTTAATTTTCAATTATCCTGTGGGAATAATTAATTCTCTTTAAAAATAAAACATTTTCATATGCAATTATTATAGACTTCAATATAATCTGTTACCTTATTTCAAATTTTTCATTGCCTTATGTAGGACTGTATGATCTTCAAAAACCTCTCAAAATAGTAGGATCACAAAAATACATAGGCCTATCTGCATTCAATTTATTTGAAGCCATTACTCATTGAAACATTGGAGCTATTTGGGCCCTTCCACAAAATATAATCAATGGTAAAATATTAGCATGCTTTATTTTGGACAAAACTCATTTTGGGAAAAGTTGTGCTTAGACAACATTTTAGAAAATCAAATAATTTAAGTTTGTAGTTACAGAATTTCAAGAAAACCTCTAAACTCTTCATCTCTTGAAGGCTCTTTTGGTAAAGGAAGTGATCACCCTTTTAAAAAAAATAAAAATCTGATTTCACATAAAAATTTTCTTCAAGTAACAACACATATGACAAGTTGCCACATGATGCAGTGAGGCACACCTGTAATCCCTGCTACCCAGGAAGCTGAGGCAGGAAGATCACAAGCTCAAGACCAGCCAGAGTAACTCAGGGAGAAATATCTCAAAATAAAAAGGGCTGAGAATGTCATTCAGTGATACAGCATGTTTGTGGCCCTCAGTTCAATCTACATTGAGGGGGAAAAAAAAAAGCCTCAAAAGTCCAGCCCATCTCCCTAATCAATTATTTAAAATATTTAAATAATAATATTTTTGTTGCCATTTCCTTTATTTTTTTGCTAATTTGTTATATGACAGCAGAATGCATTACAATTCATATTACACATATAGAGCACAATTTTTCATATCTCTGTATATAAAGTATATTCACACCATTCGTATCTTTATACATGTAATGATATCTATCTCATAAAAATATTAAATAGTGTCTTATTGAAATATTTAAATAATATATTACTTAAAATATTTCATTAAATGGCCTTTCTTCTTCTAGTACGTGCGAGTATCCTTTGATACGAAACCTGATCTCCTTCTACACCTGATGACCAAGGAATGGCAACTGGAGCTTCCCAAGCTTCTCATCTCTGTCCACGGGGGCCTGCAGAACTTTGAACTCCAGCCCAAACTCAAGCAAGTCTTTGGGAAAGGTCTCATCAAAGCAGCCATGACCACTGGAGCGTGGATCTTCACTGGAGGGGTTAACACAGGTAACTGGAGTGTGACGGGGAAAGGCATCATAAGGCCATGAGAATGTTGTGCCTCAGATCATTTTCTAAGAGTGTATTTATATTTACCCACCTCTCCCCTGCTCCTCATTATAAGGCTCAAGACACAGCTGCACAAGCACATTTCAGAAATGAACTGAATGCTGCCCATGCTTTAATATGTTTATGTGAAATCCTCTGCCTGGTTCTCTCTCAGCCTCCTTTTCCAAAATGATCACCGTATCATTATTTTTAAGAATTAAGTAACAGGTTGAAATGATTAATGGTTGACTCTGAAGAATTTGTAAATATGACCAATGGGGTTTTGTAGGATGTTTTCAGTAGCTCAAGTTGTCATATAAATATCTAGTAACTTTTTTTTTTTTTGGCTGAGGTACTGGGGATGGAACTCAGGGCCTGATGCACCCTAGGGTCTGGTGTGTTTATTATTTAAAATATTCCATTAAATCATCTCTGCACCAATAGAAGACACACCTCATCCCAGATACTAGTTTTCCTACTACCTAATGAGTTTCTATATTGTGATACAGGCATGCTCTCAAATCAATTCTTACTTACATATATAAAGTTCTGAATATAAGCACTTATCAATGTACAACAGATAATAAATTGGAAGCACGTAAACTTTGTTGCCCTATTTCCCCAGCCTGAGTTGGATGTGCCAATTAGCAGTTTACAAGTAAGTTGTAGTAAATTAATGCAAACTCATTACAAGGCTCAAAGTCTGTACACAGACACATTTGTTGTTAGTGGGACATTCTGAACGTAACTTTGGGCCAACTATTGCTGCTTTTAAATACCATGTTTTCTCAATTTTTTGTTTGTTTGTAGTTTGGACAATGTTTGAGATCTGCTCTGCAAATTCTAAATACCTAGAATTTGGGAATCAGACACAGCTGCACAAGCACATTTCAGCAATGAACTGAATGCTGCCCATGCTTCATATTGTTATGTGAAATCCTGACTCTGTCTCGAAGCTGACATGATCTTAGATTGACCTGCTCAGTCAGCTCTTTAATGTTTACACTCTAGTAATCAAATATCCAAAGAGCAAAATTCTTTCAGTGACTGTTCAGGTTTTAAGCCCCATGTTTTTGCTCCCTACTAAGTGGCCATCGCCTATCCGTGATTCTCCAGCTGTAGACTTTCCTGACATGCAGTCACCAAACCAAAAGCTTCTAAATTTTGAAAGAAACTCCTGCCAATCTATTTCTAAGAAGTTGGAACATTATTTTTCTTCTTTTACATAATGCATTCAATGTCAAAAAAAATGTACATCTTAAATACTATAAACTGACACAGGCCTCTAGAATTCCAGCAACTCAGGAGACTGAAACAAATTACAAGTTTGAGATCAGACTAGCAAGATCCTGCCCCAAAAAGGAATGTAGATGTAGCTTAGTAATAGAGTACCTCTGGGTTCAATCTCTACTACTAAAAAAAAAAAAAAAAAAAAAAAAAAAAAAAAAAAAACCCACTACAAACCAAAGAGTTCATCTCTGCTTCCCTCTGGACTTATCATTCAGTTCAAGACCAAAGTGACAATCTAATGACAGATGCTGAAGTTAGGTAAGAGGTAATAAGAAAATTGTGGCAGACAGTGAGGCATACCATGAAGCTAAACTTCTTGTTCAGGGTTGGCCCTATGTTTTGCATATTATCATTAATATACAGATTTTCATGTTTTAGTGTTTTCAGAAGCTATCTTAGAAAATTCTCTTTTTCTGGGGGGCGGGGGGAGTACCACAGTTGAACACAAGGACACTCTACCACTGAGCCATATCCCCAGTCCTGTGTTGTATTTTATTTACAGACAGGGTCTCATGTATTATTTAGCAACTCATCGTCCTCCTGAGCCACTGAGATCACAGGTGTGCACCACTGCACCCAGCGCTTAGAAAAATCTTACACAAACTACCAAGTGAGAATAATGTGCTCCTCCATACTCCCAGCATAGAGCAACATGGATTAGTGGTCATTTACACTACATTGGTACTTGATTTTTAAAAGCAGGTTCTTTAAGCATGTAGATTCTCTCCCCTGATTAAATTGCCTGGTATGTTCTGCGTGTTTGGGACACAATTTCTGAGCCCTTGCCCTTAAGGAGCTTTATTATTGGCAGAGTCATTCTTATACATAATTATGAATCATTGTAGAACAGATCAGGTGACATGTGGAGCTGCTCAAGCTGTGCAAACTGCATTATGTGTAAATGGAATCCAACTTGAGAAATCAAATCCAACTCCACATTTATATAGGAGATGGCACTCGGTGTGATGTTTTTCTTGAGGAAGAGGTAGAATTTTGATAAATGGAATCTAAAAATAATTGTTCAAGAGGGAAGTTAAAAGATTAGAAATTATTTTTTTAATTTATTTATTTATTTTAATTAGTAATACTTGACAGTAGAATGCATGTATGCTCTTTGGTATATCATACATAGACAGGATATAATTTCCCATTTTTTCTGACTGTACATGTTGCAGAATCATATTGGTCATGTAGTCATATACATATATAAAGTAATAATGTCTGTTTTATTCTACTATTTTTCCTATCCCCATATCTACTCTCTTCCCATCACTTTCCTCTAATTAATCTAAGATAACATTATTCTTCCCTAGTGCCCCTGCCTTATTGTGAATTAGCATCTGCATATTAGAGAAAACATTTGGCCTTTGGTTTTTGGGGGATTGGCTTATTTTGCTTGGCATGATATTCTCCAACTCCATCCATTTACTAGCAAATGCCATAATTTCACTCTTCTTTTAAGCTGAGAAATTTTCCATTGAGTATATATACCACATTTTCTTTACATCTTCTTTAAATAGTTTATGAAAAGGTGAGAGATAGGTTCACAACCATTTTAAACTAAATTTCCTTTAACTATGTTGAGGACAGAAGAAGAAAATTTGAATGATGAAGATTAAAGGTGTATTTTTAACAAATTTTCTACAGAATAAGCCAACATGAAGTAGATTTGCTACATATTTTGTAAATAGGAAGATGAAATTAGGACTAAAAATGTGAGCTAAATAATTATTCAAATGATTCTGACTCAAACATAATCTGGAGTGTATGTTTAATATAACATTATATATGGTACTTTCTATAGAATCAACACATTAAGCGTGTCCTAAGTCCTATGAACAAATCATTAGGTTTATACAAAAAAAGTAAAAGTGACTAAAATAGTTGTATTTATTCTTCTTATAGGCATGTTTTCATACAGATTCTAGTAATGCTTTTACTGACATTTATATCAAGTCTGGGAATTATAAATGGCACAATCACAATCTTATGTTCTTGCCTAAATATGTGGTTTATACACAAAAGTATCAAAATTGTGCTTTTGATGCATTTCACCTTGGGAGAAAGTTATCACCCTTCAAAATAATATAAAGGTCATTGCTTTAAAAAGTAAGATAGTACTTCTCTCTCTGCCCCCAGGTGTCATTCGGCATGTTGGAGACGCCTTGAAGGACCACGCATCTAAATCTCGAGGGAAGATATGTACCATAGGTATTGCCCCATGGGGAATTGTGGAAAACCAAGAGGACCTGATTGGAAGAGATGTAAGTACTGGGGGCTGCCCCTTTACATGACTTCTCCTAGAGAGGCTAGCACAAGAGTATAGTTAGTATTCATAATATGCATAATATTCTTTAAAATAGTTTATTGGATGACTACTTGTTTTCTAAAAATCTATGTAGACCCCATGTCCTTTATTCTAATCAAGAAAAGTAACTCACCAATCACCCCCTTTCTGCTTCAGTGAAGCAGTGGTCTTTCTTTTCCATCAAACTCTGCAAGTGCTCTTGGTATGGTTATCTTAAAAATACCCTATACCCACGTAACACTTGGCAACATGAACTCACACATGAAATATGGCCTCTTGTCACCCCAGGACTCCAACATCGATTATTTGAGTGCCTCTTACCCAGCTCAAGATTGCTACAGAGAGTCTTTCCATTGGAGCCTGTGTCTTCTGTGGACAGTTTTGTGTGTGTGTGTGTGTGTGTGTGTGTGTGTGTATGTGGCGGGGGGCTAAATGCTTAGTTAACATGTAGGCACAGTTGAATTCTTTATTTTGCATGAATTTCAAAACCCCTTGCCCAAGCTCAACACTTTCCTAGCCTCTATTTCCCATTCTGATATCCAGGGCCACATACTGACCAGCTGTTCAACAATTTTACCCAGAAACCCAGAGCATTTGGTCTTATTTTTTATGAGTCATCATCTCATTTCTGATCCTTCTAGGGATCTCATTTAAAAAAAAAAAAAGTCATTTCCACTCTCCCTTACAGAATGTTTCTCTTCCAACAACCATAAAATTCTATTTTAAAAGAATTGGAGTTATATTACATAAACAGATTACCATACTGTATTTGTTTCCTCCAATAATTGCAGCAATTGTTTTTCATTGTTCTCTATATCAGTTCAATAGTCATTCCTTTCCAATCAAGACCTGCCCGAGTATTAAAAATATGCTAAGTAGTTTTATCCACATATCTTGAGGTCTGTGCCCAAAAAGAGGAAAAAAAACAGATTATGAATCAACTAGTCTTAAATTGTTTCTTTTAATGATGGAGCCGTACAATTCAACCATCTCATTTCAATCCAACACAATGTATAGAATTCTTTAAAAATTTGTTTACTCCTTGTGTTTTGACATTTGATTTTTAACTCCTTCAGAACATTTAAATGATAATAAACATGCACATCACTGTTATCAAATTAAGTGCAGAAATCCTAATTTATCCAGAAGACAGAGTACTATTTTATTTTATACATACTTTATTCCCTAAATGTTATGTAGACAAAACTGATAGAAAAAATTTAGTAACACTTTTCTAGAATATCTGAGACTAGTCATTCACGGAATATAATTGGACTAATACTTACCTTAGATTTCAAATTGGCTTTTAAATGGATGTCAGTTAACTTAGGAACCAGAACAAATATATTTCCTAAAGAATTAAAACATGCTAAAATGACCTCAACTCCAAACACATTTAATATTGCATTTTAATAGTATGTAAATTGTTCCAAAAATAACTTCTGAGTCATATTTTTAATGTTCGTAGCTTCAGGATCACTATCAGAAATTTAAATAATTATTCAACGAGTGGGGCTGGTTTAGAACTCTTATTTCTGTACTTGAGATAGGCAACTAAGGTTATAATTTTGTTACTCTAAGCATTTTTGTGTTTGCTCATCTTAGATTGGAGATTTCTTTCTATTACATGCCAAAGGGGTTAGAGATGTTTAAGTGATCCAAAGAAAAATGGTCACAGAGGGCAAAAATTTGTATAGTCATCATCCCTGCTGCCAGGGGGCTACAAAAAGCAAACCATTATACCTAAAGAACCAGGTAAGCTGACAGAGAGAGGGAAGTGAAAAGGAAATGAGAAGGCTGAATGGGGGTATCCAACATTCACCTGCTATTCCACAAAGAACCAAAGTAACAAGCTGCATTGTGAGGTGACTTACAATTGGAGAGCCCTGGAAATTAGACTGGAACCTTGGGATATTCAGAAACCTGGAACATTATAATAAGAAAAACAAAATGCCCTAGCATCTGTGACTTTAGCTGCGCAGCCGAGCAAGGAGGAGTCTCCACTTTGCAGAAATAAGGGCAAGAGACCCAAAAAACTATCAGTTAAAATAGGATTGAAATCTGGTCAATAGCACTGCTTTTGATAAAGATCTTACATCATCTCCCATTGAATACCCACGGTGCTGGAGCCAGTTTCTGTGTTAAGAAGTAAGCTATTGCCCAAGTTTGGGATATTCTAGAGGTCAGAAACTGCTTCCAGAAACTCACCAGTTTGAAAGTAGCCATCTTGAAAATTCAAGTTATCCCAGTGGAGTGACTGACCTAAGCCCACTAGATGGTGTATAAGGATGGATGTTGTGACACAGAAGGGAATGGGCTGTGATAACATTGAGAACCAGAAGCTTGGATCACTTTCCCTGAGACCAAGGGCATAAATGACCATATGTAACTCAATGCCTGCATAGTTCCTGCTGTCCCTGCACCACACTCAGATGCCTGTTCTTGGCAGGGTTGGGGAAAACATCATGGTTCCACAGCTAATCATGGGTGCCCAGAAGGGTCAAGAGGAACTTTGGCACCATTTATACATATGCACTACCATCAGTTGAGAAGTACACCACAGTTCCACTGCACCTTGTCTGACCACATACTGCTGTCTGGACTGGGTATTTGCAGTTCACACCACTGTCTCTCCTCATGTGTCTCATGGGACTATACCAGAACAAGTGATTCAGGGCCCTCACTACTGCTGGTGCTACCAGTGCCAGAGGCCTTTGTCAGTAGCAGAGCTAGCATCAGCAGTATGTGAGGAATTCCCCATCACCTGAATTGTAGGAGTAGCCCTAGCACAGCACGCAAGTTGCACCATGCTTGCTAGTGTGTCTCATTCTTGCATGAACCACAGAAACAAGGGTTCTCTCTTACTTCATCACAGTAGGCAATACCAAAGACATTAATCACAGCAAAAGAGACTGCACTACTGGAAATAAGGTGAACATTGCATAACTGACAGAAAGCAGCTTTCTCCTGAAGGTATGCCCAAGATGGCCACCTCATCAAAGTGGTAGAGATACATGATCCAAAAGATTCCAGATAAATTGATACAGTTAAAAAGTCTGATAAATTATTTAAAAGCTCAGTGATATCTAAAAGACTACGGGTAAACAGTTCAATGAAATTAAGAAGAAAAATACATGATAAAAATGAGAAATTGAGTGGAGATTTAGAAGAAACCAAACAAATCTTTGAAATGAAAAATTCAGTAAGTATGTGTGTATGCACACAGCTGAAAGCCTGAACAATAGAGTAGATGAAGCAGAAGAAAGAATATTTGAACTTGAAGTCATGTCTTTTTACTTTTGGACATCAAAAGGTCACTATAGAAAAAGGAAGATTTAAAAATTTATTGAAACAATTGAAAATGGAAGCACAGAATACCAAAAATTATGTCATGTAGCAAATATAGTGCCAAGAGAAGGAAGTTTATAGCAATAAGTACCACTTTATAAGAACAATGATTTCAAACAACTTAACAGTGTATCTCAAGTACTTAGAAAAGCAAAACCACACCAAACCCAAAAATAGAAGGGAAAAAATGACAGAGCAGGGATAAGTAAAATTTAAAAAGAAATAAAATATCAATGAAGCAAATAGTTAGCTTTTTGAAAAGAAAGTTTACAAACCTTTAGCTAGACTACCCAAGAAAGAAAAGACCCAAATAAAACTAAATTGATACCTTGAAAATACAAAGGATCATTAGAAATTATTATTGAAAATCTGTACTCTAACAAGCCTATAAGAAATGGACAAATTTCTGGACACATGTGACTCATCAAAATTAAACCATGAAGACAAAAAACTGGAATAAACTAATAAAAATCAATGAGATTCAAGCAGGAATATAAAGTCTCCCCAAGTAAAGTCCAGACCAAATGGCGTCACTGTTGGATTTTACAAACCTTTTTTCCTTTTCCCCCCTCAAGAAATAAAAAGAGGATTTATTGCTTTGCTAGAAACGAAAAACACAGGGGACTCCTCTCCTAGAGGCTGTGTTTCTGCCCCTTAGCATAAACAGGGGGCTTTTTAAAATATATGTTTAGTTGTAGATGGATATAATAATTTTATTTTTGTATGTAGTGCTGAGGATCAAATCCTATCCCCCAGAGTGCTAGGCAACCCGCTCTACCTCTGAGCCACAATCCCAGGCCAACAGGGGCCTTTTAAAGAGGTGATTCAAAGTTGGAGTTGTAATCCACTTGTTAATTTAGGAGATAGTCATTTTTGAGATCTTCTGGTACCATCCCCAAAACCTGAATTAGTTGTTCCTGCGGTGGGTGTGTACTCAAAGACACAAATCTGCCTAGGATGGGAAGAATGGTAATCCCGTTTCCCTAATCTTAGGGAGGAAAAGAGATTAAAAAAGAATAGGGAAAGAAAGAAACATGTCCATTTTAAAAATACATGACAATGGCAGAGCAGCAAGGGCTATATTCAAAGCATAAAGTGGACCACTGTGACATTTCCACATTCCATTTCTATAGAAAAATAGGTGACGACAACTCCCTGCTGAAAAAGAGCGAAGTTGGGGGATGTAACTCAAAGTCAGGTGGGGCATGGACAGTTCAGGATATTCTGCATCAGGGCAGTCCAGAGGTCCACAGTGGTAGATGGCAGATGACTGGACAAGGCATACATAGATCAGGGATCATGCAGATGGCCAAGGGTATTGTGACTTTACTGAGTTCAGTTTCCTTTTTCTACAGTACCATAGTAGCAGCATGGTATTTGGCATAAAAACAGACCAATGGACAAGAAAAGAAATCCTAGGAATAAACTCACACATATATAGTCAACTGGTTGACAAAGTTGCCAAAAGCATATATTGAAGGAAGGACAGCTTCTTCAATTGTGCTGGGGAAAACGGATATCCACAAGATGGATCAAACGTAAATGTAAAACCTGATTTCTGAAACTACTAGAAGAAAACAGACACACTTCAAGACATTGGTACAGTGG